AAATTAAAACAGATGATCCTTGACTTCCAAGCACAAAATCCTTCAAGGTGAAAATATTACTAAAATTGAGATCTCCACTCTCTATGTTGATTTAAACAGGATAAATATATTTAAAAAACAAGTGATGCTGTTAACTGTGGGAAGACATGTCAAACATCACTCTCAGTGAATCCCCTGATGGGAAATAAATGAATGACAGCAGATTACAAAGCTAATGCCCATGGATCAAGTAAGGTCAAGGGAGCTTGAGACAGCAGGATTAGAGAGGTGGGATCTTTAATGCACTTCCCCCAAGCACTAATGGAATAATAATGGCTCCTTCTCAAATTAAATGCTACCCCATGTTGAAATATTAATGTGTATGACAGTCTAAGAAATTTTACCTTCTGCTCACTGAGTAAAAACTTAAAATAGCATTATGCTTTTGCAAAGAATAAATGGTGTCCTAATAAATTGAATGGGATAAAATCCTGAAATGCCACAAAAAAAACCACGTGAGCATAACCACCAGTCCTTCCAGGCAAGGTTAACTGAAGAATATAACCCAGGGCTGACTGATCAGTGAGGTCACCAGAGGAAACTCCTCGTCAAGGACCATGTGCCAAAAAACATGTTACGCCCTGAAATTCTGGCATTCTCTTTAGCATTTCATGGTACAAACTAATGCATAGGGTTTTCCTGATTTTCCCTTTGGTTTGGGGTTGTAAAGTTCGTGGTTTGCATTATTTTCATTTGGATAAAATGTTTGCTAATTACGAAAAACAAAGGTTGCCAGGACACTCTTCAATTTCAAGCGCCTTCAGCTCTCAATATTGATTTTTCTGTCCAGTGTCAAGGCAGAACCTCACAGCACCTTCCAGTATCTGAAGAGCCTGCAGGGAAGCCAGAGGACACCCTTTGTCAGGAATTGCAGTGACAAGAAAAGGAGTCATGGGTACAAATTGAAAGAGGGTAAATTTAGGTTAGGATGTCAGGAAGAAATTTTTTACTGTGAGGGTGGTGAGAGACTGGAACTGGTGTCTCAGGATGATCCCAGTCTGGCAGTGTTCAAGTGCAGGCTGGATAAGAGCTCACCTGAAGCTGAACTACAAACCAAGGCATAATGTCCACTCTTGTCCAGGCCCTGAAACTCCTCCACAGGCACAGGGGAACCCATTCCATTAAAAAAAAAAAATCCATTTGATTAAAAAAAAAACACTCAGCATTGCAGATCCAGATTTTTTTGTTGCTACTTTCTACTAATTACTGCCTCCAGAAAAAAAAAAAAAACTATGATAAAACTAAGCCTACAAAGTATCAAAAAGCAAGAGCTATGCTCAGTGAATAAATAGAACTTCTAACATAGTAATTCCTCTACAGATTGCAGTTCATTTACTGTAGCAGTAAAATACATCAAATTGTTATTTCAAAGAATAAAAAAAGGATTTTTTTGGGCATCTACATCAAAATAAAACCATTACATTGATAACCAAAATATGTTCAGTCACAAAGCAACCACACCCTGGTAATGATAATGAATGGTGATTTATGCACATGACCATCAAAAATCTTAGAGCTCAACTGCAGCTTTGCAAAACAAAAAAATTCTACCCTGAATGCTGAAAAGTTCTTCATACTGAAAAAGCCCCTCAAATCTACCCCTGACACAGCACAAAGCACATACACCAGCACAAAGCCTGTGGTGCACCAAGAAATACTCCAGGCAGTGATGAGGGAGTGTGTTACACTGGTAGGTACTTGCCAGGCCAAGTGAAGTGAGCTCCCTTAACTCATACCTTCAGCAAAATGCAACTCAGAGAGAGAAAACCCTTCCTTGTCATCAACAGGTGGGAAATACCTGGATACTGAGATACCAAAGGTCTGGCTGCATCTGGAATACCAGCCCTGCACACACTGCTGTGCTGATTATCCAGGACAGCACTGAGAGCAAGTAAACAAAAAAATTTCCAAATTCTATTTTAGCTAAAGGGGGGAAATAAACAAACATACAGCCTGTTACATGCCACTTGAAGAAAAGCTAATTCAGGCAAAGGACATCTCCTACACAGTCCCACTTATGAACTAAAGAGTGGGGGCTGTCACAAACTAGGAAGAAACTGCTCAATGCTGCTTTGTTAGCATACACCCATCTTCTTGCTACTATTTTGAAAATGCTCTGTCAGACACAAAAGAAAAAATCAGTTATTGTGCCCAGAGATGCATTAGGATCACTTGTGACACAGTGCTTTTAAGCACTTTTTACTGCTCTAGGTAATGAAGTGCACATTACAAATAACTCACAATAAACTACACTGAAAAGATAAAGGAAAAGAGGGTAGACTTTATATGCTACAGTATTTAAACATCTTGTCTTATCCTCAACATCATTGCCTGGGTTGAAGAAGAGAGTAATGACTGAATTAATTATTGGTTCATTTTCAGTTCACAGTTACCAGGCAGCAAGAAGAGTGGAAAGTGGAAAAAAAAATTGAAGAAATTAATACAACTTTATACCACTTGAACATAAATAGACACCTGATATCATAAACTCTAATACTAGACACACACAGCTACTGAAATGTTTATGGTTATGTGTAATGTAAAATAAGAGACCACAAATGTTAAAAGCAAAAAAGCAAAGTAAACTGGAGAATGAACCTGAACTTGCACTTTTATTCACAACAAAATTCAGTGTAGCCATCTCCACACTTTCATTCATCCTGAAAGTTCACTTCTGTAAATACTGTTTTCTCCTGGAGCTTTTGCAATATTCTGCACCTATTTCAGACTAAGTAAAACACATAGTTATGCTAGGCATTTTTCTCCTATCCCTTCCTTTTGGTTTTCTTTTTTCAGATTACTGCAGTTTGGACTGTGAGTAAGCAGAGAGACAGAACTTTCTAAATATATTTCAAAGTATGTTAAATGTATTTTAACTCCTATAAAAGGAGTAAGAAAGCACTCTGCAACTTGAAAGAGTTTTGAAAGTACCAAGTCACTATTAGCCTTTAACTGATGAAAACAATATTATTAAGATGTATTTTGAATTTGGTCTCCTTTAAACCAAGGAATTTAAAGTCACCACTACCTAAAGTATGGCATTTGGACTGTCCACAATTAATTGCTTTCTACCTAATCTCAGAATCAGAACTTAGTCCTACATATTTCCAAGAGATTTATTCTCCTATTACTACATACTACCAGCAGTAAAACATTAGGCTAGTGGAAAATGCTCCAAACTATTTAGTGAAACTACATGATGGTAAAAAAAAAATCCTGAAACTAAGTTAAAACTTGTTTCAGATTTTTTTTAAACTGCATTAGCAAGTATTGCCTTGGAAGTGAAATCTCGGGCATGACAGAATGACAAGCTTTGTTCCAGGCAATCTCAGACTTCTGTATTCAGACTAGGTACAGAAAAAAACGAGCTCAAAGGTGAGACCAGCAGTAACCCGGGGCGAGGTTAGCTACCGCTTCTCTAACAACATCTTCTTGATCCTGACACAGGGAACTGACACCAGCAAAGGGCTGGACTTGAGCTCCATGACAGCGGGTGAACATCCCAGCAGCACACTCGGATTGACCCGATGGGCTCTGTCACTGCCTCGGAGCAATGCCATTCCCTCGGCAGGCAGCCCTGCTCAAGGCTGACCAGCGGGGGTAGGACACACAGAGCGCTGTGTTTTGGAAATTGGGCTGTCAAGCTGTTGGTCTGCAGCCAAAGCTCAGGCTGGAACACAGCACAAAGCCAGTGCAAGTGACTGACACCAACACGCGACCGCGACAGGCGCGACGAAAGCCCAGAGAGGAGAGGAGGATGTGAGAGCTGCTCCTCAGGGCCCAGGCGAAAGGAGCTGCTGGTGTAGCCTCCCTTCACCGGGGGAAGTACCCGTGTCACCGAAAGTGTCTGCGCTAATTACAGCCCTGCAGGCATCCTCAGGGACCGCTCAGACACCGAGGAACACACTGCCTCTCCCTCCTGTGGGCTGCCCCTCAGCCACAGAGCAGAGATAAGGGACAGGAATCGCGTGGGAAGCTTTTCATCTCTCCCGCCCGCGCTGCTCTGTGGCTGAGGGAAATCTCCTGAGCAGCTGCACTGCTGAGCAGTTCATCGTTTTCACAGCCACTGAAAGTCTCAGCACGCCAAACCCTTCCTGAACCCTTCCAAGATGAAATCAGGCCAACCAACTCATGTCTTCTGATAAGACTTTCTCCAGAATACTCATTCTGGGCAATTTCTGCAACCGCGTTACAATCACGAGTAACATAAAAATTAAAAAAGTGACATGGTGAATGGGCAGAGATATCCACCATTCATAAATTTAAAATATGCTTAAACTAATTTATAGTTTCATAGGCGAAAAATAGTAACCAATATGACAATTAAAAAGAAAAAGAGAATTCTAAAAATCAATATATGTAATCAATAAATGAAATTAGCTATTTCATTTAACTTGAGTAAGAGCTTGTGAAAAATGATAAGTCACAGACATGCCATTTTAATGGTGTACATTGAACTCCTGAGATATTTTTAAAAAAGAACAGCACCTGTTTGGCTCCAGTCCTGCAAAACCCCACATCATGCATGTGAGTCAAACACACTCAACTTTAATAATGACTCAAAACTCAATGGCTTCAGCTGCATGCTTCAAACTAGGCACTTACAGGATGAGTGCTATAGAGAATATTTTAATAACAAATACCTGTGCTGCGCCTCAACCACTCACTAAGAGGTCTAACCAGTGAAATACTTAAATTCTGCTAAACGCCTTACTGCTCCAAGCATTTTTACACAGCTGTACAGTCCACTTTTCCTAAGCTACATTAGTGCCTCTTGTCACTTCCAGTGTTTTTAATGCTAATAGTTGATAGATTTAAAAGACCAAAAGTACATTCCACAAAACTGCACATGACACCTGATGCTAAACCACCGCTAGGTGCTTGTTGTCACCTGGAGACAGATTGTTCTCGCTCTCCTTGATGGGACGACTACTTGGTGTAAGACTTTGCCTAACACCCACCTCGGCGCTCCTGGACGCGGACGACGAGCTCCCAGGCGGCCACCGCCTCCCTGTCCAGGGCCGCCCGCAGCGTCACCTCGCCGCTCTCTCGCTCCACGCTCACCGGCGACTCCTCGACGGGCGGCGACAGCAGCTCGAACCAGGCGGAGGGGAAGCGCGCAGGGGCCCAGGCTGGCCAGGCGGGTGCCCGGGCGGGTGTCCTCGGGCAGGGCCAGCGCCAGGGGCGCGGCGGGCGGCAGCGCGGCCCGGCGGCGGCGGGGCGGCGGCGGCGGGAAGCGCTTGGGCTGCGGCAGCACCTCCAGCTCCAGGGGCTCGCTGAGCAGCGCGGGCCGGCCGCGGTCCCGCGCGTAGAGGCGCAGCGGGATGGGAGCGCGCAGGTGGAGCAAGGAGCTCACCAGCACCACGCGGCCGCTGCGCGGCACCACGAAGAAGTGCGCGCTGCGCGGGAGGGCGAAGTAGCGCAGCTCCGCGTTGGCGCCCGCGTCCGCGTCCTCGGCCCGCGCCTGCCACACCTGGGACTTGAGCGCCAGCGTCTCCTCCACGCGGAGCTGCGCGGAGCCGGGCCCCACGAAGCGCGGCGCGTTGTCGTTGTCGTCCAGGACGCGCACGGTGAGCGCGGCCAGCTCCGCGGGCGCGGCGCCCTGGGGCGCGCAGCGCTTGCAGCACAGCCCCAGGCGGAGCGAGTACAGCGCCCGCGCCTCGCGGTCCAGCGGGCGGCGGGTGCGCAGCCACACGCGGGCCGTGCGCGCGTCCAGCGACACCTGGAAGTGCGAGTGTCCCTCGCCCAGCAGCTGCAGGTGCCAGCGGCGCCCCTGCACCTTGGCGCACCAGGGCTCGGGCCCCAGCCGCGTCAGGGGGATGCTGAGCCCGCGCACCCGCGTGCCCGCCGGCCGGTTCTCCGCGACGTGGCCGTCGAACGAGGGTGTCCTGCGCGGGGCGGCGCGGGCGGCGGCCAGAGCCCAGCAGAGCAGCAGGCAGCCGGCGGCGCGCCGGGCTCCGCACCGCGCTCCGCACCGCGCTCCGCGGGGGCCCATGCCGGCTGCGAGCGGCGGCGGCTGCGGGAGGTGCGGAGGGTGCGCGGCGCTGCCCGGCGCTGCCCTGCCCGGCGCTGCCCGCAGTGGGCGGGCGGGGAGGGGCCGGGGCACGCGGGGCCGTCCCCGCCCTGCCTTCCCCCGGTCCGAGAGCACGCGGAGCGAACCGTCCCGTGCGCCTGCTACAGGGTGTTCCCGCTGGGCGAGCTGCCCAAATGATCCCGCTGATGTAGACACCTGCCGCTTGCTTCTCCTCCTCCGGCGGCCGAGTTCTTCCTCCACGCCCCGCGGGCATCAGTGCACAGGTGATGTCCGTGTCTGTCACATGTCAAGCAGGCTCTCCCAGCACTCCGGTGTCCCCTGAAAATATTTAATTGTGGATTTCTAGACAGCTACCTACCCTAAAATGCCACTTTTGCTCTCAGCGTGTGCTTGAGCGCTGTCACTGACCTAAAGTCACATCTTTAGTCATAATTAATCATCTCCCTTATATCTCCCGATTTGTGAAGGTAAAAAAATTCTTGATGAAATGTAGCTTGACTAAAGAATGTTTCTGGTGATAACCAGAGAGAAATATAACCCAACATTTATTTGCTTGTTTGGATTTTTGGAGTAAAACTAAAAACCCAATAAAACTAAATTTCACCATGTTATGACTACATATATCAGGGATGCTGTAGAAAAAGTTACTAGATTATGCAATTCCTCTTCAAAACAGATCAGTCCTTTCAAGAATAAAGTCCAACACAATATAAAATGGGAGTTTGCTGTGTTTATGTAGTACATGAATCATTTAAGATTAAGAATCATTCTGAGATTAAAGAACGGCAAAATAATAAAAGATACTCCTTATTGGTCACATTACTCAAATTTCATGAGACTGAATAATGTTTACATTTCTCATAAAACAGTGCATTTCCCTTATGTGTGCCACCGAAGACTGTGGAAAAGTTCATAGACATAAAATTGTGCTTTCCTGCAAGCCTTTTGGAGAAACTGGTTGTCTTTTTGGGGAATTGGCAGGCCAGGATCAAGTAGGAAGCTTCTGGGAGACTCAGAATAAAAAATCCAAATGCTCAACAGGGAGCAACCTTCACCATTTCATCCTGCAAGCAATTAAGGAGACACAAAGTATCAGCTTCACACGTTAATATATTCTCTCCATTTTTGCCTCACATTGAAATATCTCTATAAAAGCACCCTCCTATATAGGATGTTATCTTCACTGCTTTTGTGGGGGCTCTTTTTTGGCCTTAAAATAGAAAATTTTACACATGCGGATGTGTACAGAGCAAAGGGCAATAAAGAATGGAATGAGATAGGAAGAACCCATAACTTGGTGACAAAGATTTACATGGCTTCAAGATAAAAGGATTTTTTTCCAAGAGTTTCCTAACTAGTATGATACTACAAGGAATCTACAAGTAGTATTTGACCAAATTTTGATCAAACCATTTTGTGAGAGCATTTTATTCTACATCCACTAGGATTTCCTTCTGTAAAAACATACCAGGAACAGTACTATATTTTGCAAGGTCTTTCACTTCTGCATCAGAAGTTCAACAGATAAGTAATTTAAACACACATGTGGTTTTAACAGACTAAAGATGAGCCTCATTCATGATTTCAAATGCAGAACTCTACCCACATTATCCTAATCAGCATGTAGACACGAAACTGGGAGACTGCACAAGGTGTTCTTTTTAGAAAAAAATAGAGACCTTATACCATTGTTTATCAAAAAATAAAAGGATGTTGTTTTATAGTTCACTGCTCTATGGTAATCATAGAGAAATACTTGAGACTCCCCAATCCTATTACCAACTCTGCAAATCAGTGAGAATCTGAACTGGATATTGTATAGTGAGAATCCTTCTGACTTCAGCCCACCTCCAGAAATCCTGACCACGGTGGCTTTACACTGCAAGTTCCTCAGGTCTTCTACTTCACAAGTTCGTTGAGATCTCAAATATAATAAACTTTACACATAATTTGTTTCCTTCTCCTGACTGTGGAACACCACTCTCTGAGGTCCCATCAGGATTCTCTGAATGTTCCAAACCATCCTCCCTTTTACAAAAACTTTAATTTCTGTTACCTCTAAATTTGGATTTGTCAAGATGCACCAATTCTTGCATTAAAGCAAGAATTGTTCTTTTTTTGGTCATGCCTTGAATTACATGTGTGCATCGTTTATTACAGTAACTTGAAGTTTCCCTCTTTTCTCTCTGTAAAATCCAGGATTTACAACCCTCAGGGTATACCTACATGCCTGAGAATAAATCTCCTGCCCAGGCTCACAGGCTGCACAGATTCTTATAAGCCTAGAGTGCAGGTGAGCATCGCTTCCAGAGATCTCACATGACCACAGATCTCTCCTGGTCACACGCAGCATCAGGCTAAACCAACCTGCTGGTTACTGAGGTTCATCTGTGTGACCAGGTGATGGCAAGGCCAAGACAAAATCATAATCTCTGTCAATGTTATGAATTCATCTTTGGAAATTACTGAATTGTAACAGTCTGTAACTTAGTAATTTATAAAGAAACATATTTTTTATAGAAACATGACAAGCATTTAATGCAGAATTTGCAGTTTACAAATCAGAATTCCTCAGAAACATGAGCAGAAAACATTCTGAGGAAAATCTTGCCTTAACCTTATGGGACTGCAGTGTCAATATTGAGGCAGGAGAGGAGAACAAGACATTCTTCCTGGTTTGCATATACCTTGTAGCTGAAGAGCGGGGTGGCTTAGGGAAAAGTGGGACAATCAACTTTGCTTTTGATCAAAAGGCAAATATGCCTGAAGCAGTGAGTGCTCTTGATTCCCACTTACTCAATAGCTGACTTCAACAGAAGAAAGAGGCTGGAAGTCCCCTAAGATATTTTACTATAAATAACTGTAAATATATAATCAGAACAGAATTAATTGACCCCTCCGGAGCAAGATGTTGTATGTGTCACCAGGTGCACCTGCAGACATCCCTCTCAAGCACAAGTTTAAACCTTCAGGAAGTGCTCTGCTCTGCTGTATATCCAGCCAAAGGAAGCTCTTCCTACACTATTTACTCCCCACTCAGGATTCTACAAGTGTCTTGGCAAGCAGCTCTGCAGGATCCAGCCCAGAGTGATACAACAGCCCCCATGCAATTTGAGATGGTTTGTACATTGCCACTTTTTATAACAACACTTGTAGCTCCATTTTCTCAAATGCAAGTACAAGTGATAATCCTTTCCTGTATAATTTTGCAAATTAAACCTAAATTATTCAGAAGTACAGCTGTTGTTGTCTAATCCTTGCTAGTTCTTTATGCAGCTTTCTCTCTATAAGTCACAAATTTTTCTTGGAATCTAGTGCTGAAATGAGTGCAAGAAACACCTTCTGTCATACTCAAAGCAGAATTCTTCTTCCAAAAGGGAAAAGATAGTGACATATTTAGTATCTTTCATTATTTTATAACAATTACTTTCCAGTTTATTTCAACCAGCTGGAAGACCCTTTCTGCTGTTAAGCATGGTGTGCTATATACAAGTCCAAGGTTAAGGAAAATGTTTTAATTACAATAATGTACCTGAATGGACATATGTATGCAGCTGGAGACACCTCCTACATGACTTATAATCAAATTAAATCAGCTATACAGCCATATCAAAAAGGGAAACCTGAGGTGTGTTGAAATCAGACAATATCGTCATGATCAATTTTCACTCTAATCACACTCTAAAGGTATACTCTGTTTTCCCTGGCTGGTGCCTTACTGCTTACCAGTAGAAACATATCATTAATAATGTTTCTTTTAGCAGTTTGAAAACCTTTACAGAAAAGCTTTTCTTAAGCCCCTAAGTCATCACATGATCATTTTTTTTTTGACTTGTGACTAACACAGAAAATACATTAAAAAAATTTTTGAAAATAATTATTTTTGCATGACTTTATCCTATTCTCTAAATGCTCATTTTTCTCAAAACTGTGTTCCATTCCCATACTGCTTTAATGAGATGTCTGTGAGAAGCAGACTGCTGTTTTCACATTCAATACATAAAACACAACAAATACACATGCCCAACACTAAATCTGAGTAAATATTGTTCCAATTTTTTTCAATTATTTGTATACATGCAATAAACATAAAGAACCCATTAATTCTTTCTTGTCTTTCCTATTGACAAGTGTAAATCTCCATAACTTCAGTATCTTTTGGTTTGGTCATCACATTTCTCCAGGTGTGAAACCCAAACTATTTTTACCTCAGCATAACAAATCAAAAGAACAAATTACATTGTCAGAATGTGCAGATTTGGCAAAGAAAATGTATCTGATTGCATTCCAGCAGAAGCTAGGCAGGCTTCTGGTGAGCTGCTCAGCATCTGGCCTAAAGGGCTGCTGAGGAACCTGATCTCCCAGATTCCCCAGTTCTGGGAAGGACATCACTGGACTGCAGCCCTATGGCTTGGGATGTGAAGGCTTCCAGGGTCTGGAGCAGACAAAGCTACAGAATCAGGGAGCCCACATCTGCCAAGGGCTGTAGCTCTGAAAGCCACAGATGAACTGACCTAGATCCAGTGTCTGGTGCAACTCTCCTCCACATAGGGTTCCTGGGTTTGAGACGGGCTTGCTCCCGGGTAAAAGAAATCAAAGTTTGAAGTATCACACATCAACACATTTAATAGAAAGGTACTTACAAGAGGTTTCTATAAACAATCCTTTGAAAATAACATTTGTTTAAATAACTCCAAACAGTGTGACAGTACCATGCACTGGTGTCTGGTTCATTTGAGGTATCTTATACTGTACATCACAATTAGCAAGGGTGTCAGCCAGAACAGTTATTATAAGAAATATTCTGGTTTAGTCAGTGATAAGGAATAATATACTACCAACAAGGGCAGAAACCACCTTTAAAGTAATTATCTCACCTTCATCTTTTTGAAAATTAAAGAAGCTCGACAGTGATACAAACCTAAACTAATATTCTGATTTATCTAACTTACATTTTGTGCTCTTACATGTTAGAAATACTCATGTATATTAGTGCTGGAAATTTGGAAACCAAAGATT